CCAGAGCCAAATCTAGGGCCCTGCTTTACCGTTGGGAAAAATTTGAGGGGAAGGGGCACTCCATTTTTTTGTAATGTTTCATATTTGCTGAATTGGAGTCCTCCATCAAGCCGGTACTCTTAGGACACGTGCCCATAGAATAGAGACGGAATAATTCAGGTATTTGGTTCATACTTGAAAGCACCTAAGACCTAAATAACAATACCAGTAAACAAAACATTAAATACAGTAGCATGGGTAGCAAACCAAAGCATGTTAGGAATGCTCATAGGTAACCATCCATCCATAAACCATAGGTTGGCTGTCAAGCCCAAGCCAGACTCCAGACAATTTTATCAAAATCCGGCATGGTGAGTCTATCGTCATCGGTCTGGCGTGCCCGTGCAGTGGGTCTGTTATCGATTCTAGCGGCAGCGGGTTGCATCAATCTCTGTCAGCAGCCAATCGCTGCGTCCCAGGGGGCGTGCCGTCAGCGTTGTGCGCCCCTCCCTCGGTCTGCTCCGCCACTGATCGGACGGTCTCGGCGTCACGTGTCCTCAGGGTACACGCATCGATCTAGCGGTGTCTCGGCAGCCCATTGGCGCTCCGCTTTCAATCTGTTTTTTACGCTCTCCGGAAGGGAGACGATGACGATCCGACTGAGAACGAACGGGTTCCGATTCAAAAGTTGTCGGCCGACTCCGTGCGCCTATGCATAGACGTGCAGAAGGAAATCTTGTTGGATTTGTGAACAAAGAACACGAATATTTTATCTCTTGTCTTACCAGCATCAATAATTTGCCGTGGGCATACGGAATAGGCCCAGAGCCCTCAGTTTCTGGAACGGCCCAGGGTGCCAGTTTTGAAAAAACAACCGGTTTGAGACTGTAAGGTCCCTGAAAAGGATGTAGCCTGTAGTAGATAAAGAGTCTGGGTGTTCTGCGAGATAAGCTCAAGACATAAAAGCTCAAGAGTGGTCCTCAGAGGTACGTGAGCTACCTGCCTGTATAGAAAGTCCCCTTGAAATGTTTTATGTAGTTGTCGGATAGGTTCGTAATCTTCCTGAACGACCAGTGCGTTCATCTCTCCTCAGTCAGCGATATATCGGGATACCAGCAATGCATTGGTTGACACTCCTGAGCATTGCCTGTCTGTATTTCTTTTTCCTCAAGGCCTTGTAATAGGTATGGGTCCATAAGTAAAATGAGCTACCCTTGACGAAATCCTACGCCCCTCAAAGATTCCCCAGCCAAAAAAGTGCTCTACTATGCCATCAACAATTGTGCGCCACCGCTCAATTTTACCGTAGGGGCCGTGACCTCCCTCCCTCACCTTGAGAAACTGGACGCTCTCTAAAATTTCAAAATTTGACCATGCTTTCTTTGTTTGGGAATTTGATATCTCCTCCCTCCTGAAAAAATTGCTACTTCACGCTTGGCGGCTAAAACACTTCCAAAATACTTGTCCTAAAAGTTTTGCCACAAAATATCATATAAGTATATCAGATTTTTTTAATGAAGAAATTTATTTAAACACTAACTAGTTTACAGAAACTTTCTTCGAATGTCTCTCATGAGGTCCTGGACGGAATTCAGATCAATTTCTTTCGGTTTTTCGTAAATTCGCCGTCTTAACTGTTCCTCACCTTGGGCTTCCCAGCCTCCATGATGAGCATTCCTAGACAGTAAAGCTCAAAAGTCCTCTATTGGGCTAGCCTGCGGCAAGTTTGGATGATTATCGTTTTGGGGAACAAAAAGTATGTTGTGTTGTCAAAGCTAGTTTTGGGTATTTCTTGAGTAGTCGCATGATTCTAGGATTGGCCAAAACATGATATTGTCATTAGCATGATGTTCGTAGATAAACTAAAGCAATTTGGAAAGGCAGTTATCAATATAGCTGTGACTATCCAAAGCTTCACCCCTCACTCTTCCCACAAAAGGATGGGTTACATCCCTGTTAGAAATTGCGCAGACACAGATTTTATTTGCAAATTTTGCTTTATGTTTGTATCTAACATTGTCAGGGCATTACTATGCGTTGTCTGTATCTCTTCATTTTAGAATTACTCAAAGTGAAATACTTTTCATCATTTAAAGTATTGATTTTTCCATTGGCAAAGTGTTGCGCTTGAGAATATTTGGGGCACTTAAGTCTCCTTCGATATTTAAGACCATTGCTCCTCAATTCCAACGATATCGTACTCTTAGAGATATCTCCGCTATTGTTCGATAACTGGTTCTGCGTGAAATGTTTTCATCCTGGAATATTCGGCAGATTTCAGTTTTGGGTACCCGCCCAACCAACTTGAAGATCCTTTTTCTTATTTATAATTTATACGAAATCTTAAAGTGAAAAGTTCAAAATAAATAAATGTCAACTGCCAGTACCTACCTGATGTAAGTAAAAGAACTTTTGTTTCCAAATGCAACTTGGTATTATTTTGTGATTATTAAAATTAAAGCCAATGAATTTTGTGCCAAAACTTTTAGGAAATACGTTATACAAAAACTTCCTTCGGGCCGATGTCTAATGAACCCCTCATGAAAAAAATTGCTGCGGGCACATGCTTATGTCAATTCCGTTTAACGAAAATGAAATGCAAAATATCAAACTATAGATATAGGATCCTCCCTCTTGTTGCTGATTTCCTACTGCCGATAATTTCAAATTATGCATAACTTTAAATTATATTTGTATAGTCAATTACTAAATTGGAAATGCGTCGTACGCCACTGATCTATGTGTTATTGCTATATACGGTAAGACCTGTACACACGTAGACAATGGAATACGAATACTGCATTAGCTTGTGTTGCCTAACCGAAAAAGATGAAATCGGTACCTAGACATTCGTTGAAATTCGGTAGATACCTACAATGAGAAAATCGCTAGGAGAAAAAAATCAGGGCCGTCACAAGATCAGGGGTGGATCAAGGGAATTTGTGTTATGCTGCTCCCTCTATGAAAATTTATATTTTTGTATTGGGCGTGCATACACAACACATGTTTTTTGAGGGAATCTGTTTACCTGAACAAACATTAAGTTCTTTATTTACTATAACTTGTACAATAAGCATACTGATCGCTTTTCAAACTCCTTTGCAACCATTATTGAAACTTCTTTTGCCATTCTTGTTCATAAGATTCTGAATATTTTTCTGTTTTAGGGCCATATCGTCAGTCGTTCCTACAAATGTAGGACGCCTTTATGGCCTCCTTGACTTACATAGCTTTTCCTGTCCTTCATAAAGGCTGGGGTATTTCTAGATTTCTACTGTTCCGTGTTAGCGCTCTCCTATTGTGAGGTTATGTTTTTTTTAATTGTAGACAATTTCAGGCCGACATAACAAATGATATAAATCAAAAGCATGAACAATTTGATGCAAAGATATATATATATATATTTGTAACATAACCTCAAATTGGAGCACCGACACCGAATAGTAGAAAACTATGAAAATCAAGCAGGCCATAAAGGCGTCCTACAATTGTAGGAACCACTGACGATATGGCCCACCGGTAATGACGGTGATTTACCAGTCTGTACCTGTACGAACATAAAGAAATATAGGGAAAGCGGAATAAGGGATCTGCCTACATACAGTGCAAACCCGCTTATAATGGACTCGGCGGGACTGTGACAAATAGTCTATTATAGGCGCATGACCATGTTAAAAGAAACACTTTTTTAATGAAAAAGTCAGCAGAAATCACATATTAAGAGCTTAAAATGTGTTCAACATGTGTTACATAAATAAAGATACATACAAAAAAGTTATACGTAACATTGAAATATGCATTTTTTTCAGAATCTGATACACATATCACAGCCATACGTACTGTGTATGTATGTATGTGTAAAAACCGTAAATTATTTGGTAGAAAAGCTAGTAATTTTCATTTGAACAGATTGTTTTTTTTTGTACTTATAATTTGTGTAAGTGTGGCTGTACTGTCTTCTTGCTAAAAATAACATTGCTACTTTTTCACGCAGTCTAATGCCTCCTTAGTTGTGACTGGAAGCTCGTCTTCGTCGTTGTTTTCTAGTTCGTCTACCTGTTCGTTATCAACGGATCCTTCATTAACCAAATTCGAGTCTGAGAATACCTGTGTTGCTATTAAATTATTGTCAACATTTACATACTCATTAAATTTGTCTATATTCAGTAAACTATTAATTTTCAGTAAATCACTCAATGGAATTTCATCTTCTGGATTAACATCGTTGACTATTTCGGTTATGTTTTTCACTAAACTAGCATGGCGAAAACAATTACGTTTCTGGAGTAACCAATTCCCATGCAATAGTTCCATAATTTTAATCAACATATGTTTCCGATCCATTTGTTTAAGACTCCAAATGACACCCTGGTCCATTGGTTGCAGAACTGATGTCACATTGGGTGGAAAAAATTGAAGATTGATGTTAAGTGAAATATTTGGATGAGCAGTTATCGGCCAAGAGCAAAATTTTACGATTTTTCATAAGGCGTTCAGCGTCCCACTTTTTTAAACATTCTTCAAAAATTGATGAAGTCATCCAAGCTTTATTATTTCCAACATAATCGACGGGAATTGTTTTATTATTTTTGAAACACATGGGATTCTTAAATTTCCCTGAAATAAAAAAACGTCATACATTCTTTGCAGCACTGCTATTGAATATCAAAAAAATTAGGACATGAATTTCTATTTATTCACTTACCTATTATCAATAGTTTCCGTTTTTCAGTACCAGAAGCATTAGCACAAATCATAACAGTTATTCGCTCTTTTGATAGTTTCCCTCCATTTCCAGTTTTATCTGGTAGCATTCTATAAAATATCCCGGTTTCATTTGCATTGAATTTGTTATCATCTGAATAATCCCTGCATATTACGGGCCAAATTTGGAAAATCCAGTCATTGGTAAACGTTCTTGTTAACTGAAGCTGACTCACCACACATTTTTCCAAAAACAATGTTATGTCTTTTCTTAAACCTGTCTAGCCAACCAGAACTACATTTGAAGTAATCTCCAATCAATTTCCCAAATTCTCCAGCCTTTGTTTGTAGCATAGGTCCTCTTATTGGAAAATTATAAGCACGCTTTTGTTGAAACCATTTAAACAGCATATCATCGACTTGGGGATGCAGGGATAGCCGCATTTTTTCTTTTGACTATTTGATTTAAAGTCATTTTTAATTTTTGTCACGGTTTTTACAAATATTTGACAAGGTGGATTTTTTTATAGCTATACGAGCACATATATCAGCTTGAGATGAACCCTGCTCAAGCTCACTAATTATTGTGAACTTTTCGTGTAAAGTGAATGCACGTTTCGCACTTTTCGACATGTTTATAACTCTAATAAATACAGTATACCTAACACTGGTGGCCAAGTTCGAATGCAAACTGCGGAGCCAAACCGCCGTAAACGATTGCATCAGCTAAATCTGCTTCAGGCAACTACCAAAATAGCTTGCATATGATTAAAACAGTCCGCTATTTTGAGCGAGTCTATAATATCCGAGGATTTTACATGCAATTGTTTATAGGACCGTAAATTGTGTCCATTATATACGGGTTTCCATTACAAGTAAGTTATAAGTGGATTCCACTGTACTTATTTGTAGGCAATCCAAATCTACGACCCTCGTGTGCCCGACAGCCTGCCCGGTTTTTCATTCGCTGGTTAACTTTCGAGTTTAGTAACTATAACTTGTAAGCTAACTATTTGTTGTCCGTAAATCCATTTTTCAATCTCTGGTTAACTTATAATTTACGGTTGATGCGGCAACGCTGCCTCTACGTCCAAAATATCGTATTTTGTGGGTTTTGTGATGCTCGATGCATGCAAGAGAGGTTAGGCATTGTGGTGTCAGTAACGTTGCAAGGGGGTGGCGGGGGCAGTCTGCACCGGGTGTCACCTTTTTTTGGGGTGACACCTACCCGGTGACTCAACTTTAAGAACAATGTACAAACATAAAAAAACTAAATCTAAAACACTAGCTCAGCTCTATGCAACGAATTCGAATACTTGGGTAGAAAACGTAAACAAAGGATTTGTTTTTAACGTTATAGTTAGAGCGAGACACAGACTTGAGTGGTTACCAGTTTTCTGCGGTGTTGTCACATCTTGTTCAAAATCAATGACTGCCTTCACGCAATCAATAGATAAATAATAGCAGTGAACAGTGCAAAAATAATCGTAAAATGATATACGTGGTGATAACTAAATAAAAAGTATGTCTTCAATATGTTGTATTTTCAAATCGAACAACTCATATGTATGTACAGTTATGAATTGTTTGTAACATCTGCATCGAAAAGAAAGTTTTTGGTTTCAGTACCCTAATACATTTCATATTATAATGTTTCCACTAACTGATGCAGTGTTATCATAGCTTCAAAACCTACCAATTTCACGGAACCTGCAAAAATTGAAACAAATGAGATAATTTTTCGAAAAATAAACATTACAGCGATTTCCGAAAACGTCTTGAACTATTCTTATTGTGGTTTCGTACTCAGCATTTCGTAATATGGTTCGAACGCTCTTAGAATATGACCGCTACGTCATCGTGGGCGGGTCCGCTCATCACGCGGTCGTCGACAGAGCGCAGTGGCGTTCTATTTTATTTGAAGAATAATCAGTTTTAATTGACAATAATTATAAAAATCTTTTACATTCATACATACCGGTATTGTTGAAGTGGAAACTTTAATCCCTCTACACTTTCCTGTACCATGAAGTTATTGACATTATTGATAATTTCCTTTCCTTGACTCCCAATCGCCTTTCCTTTCACGCCAATCTCTTTCACAGACATTGTTTAGATCACTGGTTCAAAACTATTAATAATTTAAATTTGAACAATAGTAAAAATTTCCACTATATTGCAATCTATTTGACAATTTTTACACACGGTGCCTTGTTCAAATTAGTTTACAAACTGAACTTATGACTAACGGACAGGTTTATATATCTGTTGCAGGTAAAATAAATGTGATTGATTAACACTCATCCTCTTAACGCTACTTACGAACGAAGGGATTTAGCAACCGGGAATTATTCCAGGTAGTTCAATTTTACACTTGTTATTATTAGATTGGTTTCTACTAATTTTGTTTACCCTCGTTTGATATTGGTATTAGCCTATTTATCTAGGTACTAATGATGCACTCTAGGAAATCTCATGATTGGTATAGATATAAGCGGATCACAGTCTTAGGATTAATTTAATTTCTTTCAGTTGTTTGCCAACTTTGGGGTTTTACCCTTCAATATTGTGTCTATTATATGTAGGTAGTTCACTATTTTTAATTTTGATTTATGGATCTCCATCAAATATCCACAAACCACATAAGATTAATAATTTTCAACACAATCAAATATAAAATATGATATGGTTAATAAATAAAAAAATAAATAAGTCGAAGAAACGTCTCATCAGATCCCAATTGTGTCAACAATCTCAACTGACTGAAACTTGCGTATCTACATACTAAAAAACGTTCCGCCTATGGCTTTCTGAGAGTGGGATGTCCCTTAACAGCGTCAACAGCAACATAATTTCTGGACATTGAAGACCACATACATTTTTAAGCTTTCTACGATATAAATATTCGCCACGATTAGAACTGGACCACATTAAGAAGGCGGTAACAGATGTCCATAAATCTTACCAGAGACTGTCACAACAATTTTCTATATTCTTATAGGGTACAATCGACGCAAGGGAGAGGGTATAAAGTGATGACGTAGCGGGCATAACCTTAGGCTGTTCGAACTCTACATCTGTAATAAGCTCCGAAAGCATTTAAGAAATATGTAATGTTATATCCCGGTGATATTTCCTGAAAAACTAATATGTGCGTACTAAACGTGGCAACGCTGTGGTCTCAAATTAAGAACAGCTGGGCTGATTTCTGGTGTTTTATGCTGCGGCTCTTTGTGAAATTCAGGGGAGCTTTGCTTTGCTCACGTTTACGTGTGTTTTCCGTGATATTTTCTCAGAGTTTTGAGGATTTTGAAACATTTCAGTGGAATGCATAGCATTTTGGAGTATTCTCGAAGATGGTGAAGTGTTGCATGTTATGTAAAAAGCAGTTTAAGAGCGATAAAAGCAGATGTCTACTCGGGGAAAAGTATACAATTTTCGTTTCAAGGTCAAATTTTGTGTAAACAATAATTTACCTAATTAACCTAGTCCGAATTCGTTGGCTCTATGTAGGTATAATTCGAGGATTCCCCAAAAAGCGCACGTGCTGTCGTGTAGGATTCCCCGTCCCATAGTCGCGATGCTTGATGTCTCAGTTGCATCATTTCTCATTTGTTTCGCGAAGTGTGTTGTGTTTTTATGGCGTGAATTGTTAAACGTGTAGTGATAAAAAAGAAACAGAACTAAGTACTTTTGGAAATACCAAGACTGCAAAGACACTTAAAAGCCGCTAATGTTACAATTTCTGTTTGGATATCTCTAGATTTTTTAAAGTTTTTTGTAGAATGGGATTTTACAGAACCTCTTCCAAATCTTATGATGGCACTAAAATTGTTCATGACGGTTTGCGTGTCCGTAGCTTGACGTGTAAGGAGTTTCATTAAACTAAAATTAATAAAAAACTATTTGCGGGAAACAATTACCCAATAGTGGCTTGCCAATCTTGGTATATTAGACATCGAATACGAGGCAATACAAAATATAAATTTGGTGGAGTTATTTCTGAGTTTGCAGCTGTCAAAGCTAGAAAGAATAGATTTTTAATTGAAAGATAAAAATATTTTTACTGTCTTAGTTTTTATTGTCTTTTGTTATTTGTTCAATATTTTAAATATAATTATTAAATGATCCCTGACGTTTATAAATCATATAAAATTTGCTGCTTTCGACTTTCAGTGGGGTGAAACCACCAACTTCCGCACCCAAGGTAGCTACGCCACTGTGTAAATGGTCTTCTGGTTAAAGTTAACTACCGTTTTAGGAAGAATCCAACATTGGAAAACACATTTTAATAGTTTACTTCTGGTTAGCTGTAAAATCACAGTTAACCTGCAATTGAAACACCGAACCTATATCCTATTCCACGAGTATCCATCACGCTTTGATGTCTACTGAGGTGAACAACTGATCAGCAAGTGACATTTTCATGTTAGTCTGCGACGTTGGCAATAATGAATCGGGTGTAAATCTAGTAAAACTTGATTGTAGCGCTATGTTTTTTGTATGCGAAAGAGTTGTTAGCAAGTACAAAATGAATCTATAGGGTCTAAAAATCCAAAACCAAATACGGCTCTGACATTGACGGATCCGTCAGAATTGTGTGTCCTGTGCCGATATGGGGAATTTTGAGGTATTACTAGATAATCAGCTGTTATTGTACCCTGATGGGTATAAGTGTGTGCTTTTGTATAACTGCATAGACTACAAACCTAGCGTTTTATAGATTTATTTTTAGGTGCACCCCTTTTTCGGTAAAAAATCTCGAAATATCTAAGTTATTTTAAAAAATCCTGAAAAATGACGGTTTCTGTAAATAAGGTCTCATTTCGGCAAAAATACCGAAAAATCGGTAGGTTCGGCAACACTGATTAGCAGTACCCCCCAGTGGCGTGCTTTTCTTTTCCATTTTAATCCTTGACTGTAGTATTCGATGTGTCCGATTGTGAATCCTAATCTATCCTAGTATTACGTGCAGGACGGGCGCAAGCTGGGATACGGCGCGATGCAGGGCATCCCTATGGTGGCGTCATCGCCCGTACGACATGATTCGCCCCTAAGCGGAGTGCACCCCTTGGAGGTGCACGCATACCAACCGCCCTGGAAGGCACTCAGCGATTTCGCGCTGCATTCGGACCTGGATCAACCGGGACACCAACCAGCCTTCCAGCAGCTTGTCAACCAGGTAAGATTGATAAGTTATATTGAAAAGGCATAACAGACAGCAGGTGTGTTAAAATAACTGTAGTGAATTTTTAGTCTTCTTGTTTTGTGGGTTGGTTATTTGTTTGTTTATTTAAGATTTATTCAGCATGATTGCTACAATTACTAAAAACTGAACCATGAGATAACATACAGATATTTAGAAAAATTGCATGTCTAATAATTTTCAGCGTCCATTAAATATTCCTTTAATTTTCTT